TAAACTATACTAAAAAGATTTATCTATGTAAGGAGACTTTATTGTGAAGCATTTATGTGTCCCCAAATTATCCATGTTTTCAATTCTTGGAGTAGCATATTAAGGCGTGTGATTCTTAATTCTTCTTTCCATCTGTCAGTAGGGCATTCATGCTAGATAAGTTTTTGTTTTGTTTGGATGTCTTAGACCATTCTATATTTTGCTCATCCCATAATATAGTTTTATGCAAAAAGATTAAAACTATGTAAATGTTTTTTCTGGAAATTATCAGTTATAATATTTTAAAGGGAATGGAATGGCACCTTTGTTTATAGGACAATATTTGTAAATAAAGTAAAATTTCCAAGTCAAAAAAGAAAAAAGAAAAAAAGCTGCGGTGTATTTACACAATGGAATACGATGAGGCCATATAAAAAAATTCTTGCCCTGGCTGGGTGGCTCAGTTGTTTGGAACATTGTCCCATACACCGAAATGTTGCATGTTCAATTTCCAGTCAGAGCACATACCTAGGTTGCAGGTTTGATCCGCAGTTGGGGAACATACATAAGACAATCAATCAATGTTTCTCTCTCACATCAATGTTCATCTCTCTCTCCCTCTCTCTCTCTCTCTCTATCTTTTTTTTTTTTTATCCTCACCCGAGGATATTTTTCCATTTTTTGTACAGATAGAGTGGGAGGGAGAGAGAGGAAGGGAGAGAGAGAGCGAAACATTGACGTGAAGGGACACATCGAGTGGCTGTCACCCGCACGACCAACCAGGGCCGGGGACAAACTGCAACCGAAGTACGTGCCCTTAGCGGGAACCAAACCCGGGTCTCTCCGGACCGCAGGCTGACGCTCTAACCGCTGAGCCAAACTGGCCAGGACGCTCTCTGTCTCTATCTTTTCCTCTCTCTCTAAAATCAACAAACATATCCTTGGGTGAGAAAGAAAAAAAAAAAAGACAGCACCTTTGCAACAGCACTATGGACCTGGAAAGTATTATAGAAAGAGACTCACAGATACAGAGAACAGACAGACAGCTGTCAGAGGGACAAGGTGGTTGAAGGGGCTGGGTGAAAAAGGTGAAAGGATTAAGCCAAAAACATAAACAAAAACAAAACCACCTAAAACTCATAGACACAGACAACAGTATGGTGATTACCAGAGAGAAAGGGGAAGGGGTAAGGTAGAAGAGGGTAAAGGTGGGATAAATTGTGATGGAAGGAGACTTAACTTTGGGTAGTGAGTACACAATACAATATACGAATGATGTATTATAGAATTGTACATCTGAAACCGATATAATTTTAACTAATGTCACCCCAATAAACTCAATGAAAAATTTTAAATAGAAAGTTTTCTTCACAAAATAAATCCATTATAATTATCTTCCCATTGGCAGCCTGAGAAATTATATCTTTAAGACATTCTTCCAATTCTGATTTTTCTGCAAAACATTAATCTGAGGGTTTGATGAAAGATCTGAAATATCTGTGATGCAGGGTGGTAAATAAGATTGTTGGAAGTGGCAGAAGGAAAAGAACAGGGAGCTGGCAAGAACTGAGCATCCCCAGCACTTTTCCTCTAAAACCCAAGTCCCATACAGCTGATATATACGGTGTGACCTTACCGGTTGCTGAAACCAGCATATGTATAACTTGATAAGTAGTTTTATGAACACAGAGTTTAATTTATATAGACAATGTAAGAGAATAGATTTTAGAATTATTGATTTACATATTAATTGATATTAGTATGCTAGTTGTTAAATACATTTAATATCAACCTACATGATGAGTGGTGTCATTGTGTATGGTCAAAGCTTTTAGAAATAATCTTTGAGGATGTCCCCCACGAGAATATTTGTAAATCTATGGTTGTAAATCAGTGGTTGAAGAAATCTGAAAAATGTTTAGGTCTAATTAAGATAATAAGAATATCTTCTCATGAAGGGAAATTTAGACTCTAAATATTTATAAAAGTTGAACTTTAATCAATTCCCTCAAGCCCTTCCCTGGCCGGTTTGGTTCAGCGGTTAGAGCCTGGGCCCATGACCAGAGAGTCTCGGGTTCGATTCCTGCTAAGGGCACATACCTCAGTTGCAGTTTGTCCCCGGCCCCGATTGGGGTCGTGTGGGTGGCAACCACTCAATGTGTGTCTCTCACGTCAATGTTTCTATCTCTCTCTTCCTCTCTTTCTCCCTCCCCCTCTATCTAAAGATAAATGAAAAAAAAAAATTAAAAAAAAGAATTTGTTAATGAAGGTAGGCAGGTTACAAGGAGCTGGGGAAAAGAGGATTTGGGGAACACTTGTCATATATTCAGTATTGTTCTAGGCAGAGTAAGGCACTGTCTTTGGGGGTAGGGGCATTTGGGACACCAGAAAGTTTACATCTTGTAAAATCAAGACAGTTCACCTGACTCTTTTCATGTCTTGAATGACCAATCCTCAAAATGGTCTACTATACTTTGCTTTGCTTCTATGGTATCCAGCAATTTTCTTATTAAAATTTGTCTTCTATTCATTCTTTCCCTAGTATCTAGCACAGGGCCTGGCATAACATAGAAATAATTCAATAAATACTTGTGAATAATTGAACAAAATAGTAAGTTGGCTGAAAATTGAAAAAGGTGCTATGTATAAAACAGCATTATTCTGACCACTGGAAAGAAATCCCTCCCTGCTGAGAATCCCCACATCAACATCTGGCATTATCTATCACTTTGGGAATGAATTATTACAAGTTTCCAGAGGACAGACTATCTCTATTAACACCATCAAAACCAGTGTCAAGAATTAAAGAACTGACTGACTCTAACTTCTAAAGATCTCACCAAAGTGTTGGGATGAAATGACAAAATTGCTGTTTTAAAAGGTCAAATTAAGACGATTTCACATGGTATGATCTAAATGTGTGTATCCTATGAAGCTCTTTCTGGGTGGAGACCAACTACCTAGACAGTATGTCTGTGTTGTTTTACCCTAACTGCTAAAAAGCAATACTTTCTTCTTTAATTTGGGGAGGGAGTGGGATAAAATAGAACAGAGGTGGTTCTTAACTATAGGCATCTTACTCCCTAAATTTTACCCTTTTAAAAGCTGAAAAATATTTTCCTTGTGTTATAAATGTAATGCAAGTTCAGTGCTACACAATTAAAAAGACTTATAAACACAAGAAAAAATTAATACCCAGTCTGACCAGCTGCAGACATTTTAATACATTGATTTCATCTTTTCCTTTGTTAAATCTCTTATAATTCATAATTCTGAATATACTAAATAGATCTCTATATTCCAGGTTTTATTTAAAAATTACAATATACTACTCTGTTAACTCTTAATAGTTAATTTTTATTGCCCAAAATATTCTTTCCAGTGGATCAACCATAATTAACCATTCCCTTGTCATTGTTTGTTTAAATCGCCTTTACTTATTTTGATGCCGTTAAATAACAATGCCATTAATATCTTCATATTGTAGGGGAAACAAAACTTTACTTCTACCCTCTTAGGGTGCCTGGTTCAACATGAGAGTTAAAATGACAGAAGACAGCCCTGGTTGTTTGGCTCAGCAGTTAGAGTGTCGGCCCGCGATCCACAGAGATTCAGGTTCGGTTCCCTGCTAAGGGCATGTACCTCGGTTGCAGTTTGTCCCTGGCCCCGGTTGAGGTCGTGTGGGTGGCAGCCAGTCGATGTGTCTCTCTCAAATCCATGTTTCTCTCTCTCTCTTCCTCCATCTCTCCCTCTCGCTCTATCTGAAGATGAATGCAAAAGTGTCCTCTAGTGAGGATAAAAAAAAAAATGACAGAAGACAGATTAACAGGAGAAAAGCAAACAGATTTTTATGTATATGGGAGTCCCTAAAAGAAAATTAAGATTCAAAAAAGGGCAAAATCTCAGACCTTGTATCAAAGAAAGAGCCTAGATCAAAGAAAGAGAGGCAACTAGGGGAAGTAATCAAAATGTAAAGAGAGACCAAAGAAGAAGAGTTATTTTAATAAGGTCTGTTGTTCAGAATTTACTCTCCCTTGACTCCCCACACCTCTGGTGTTAAGAATGTTTCTCTCCTGGTATAAGGAAACTCACATGGGAGTTTTATCTCCTCCTTTGAGGAAGAAAGGGAAAGGTCAGAATTCTTGCACTTGGTGTTCTTCAAGTGCCTGTAGCTCAGAATTATCCTAATGACCCAGTAGCATATATTGGGTGACATATTCTGCCACCCTTCAATGTATATATAGTTTTATTTGCGTGGCATATTCTGCCACCCTTTAATGTATATATAGTTTTATTTCTTACGATAGATTTCCAAGAAAGGAATCAAAGTGTCAAAGAAGAGGTTAAAGACTTGAACATATAAAAAGCAGTATTTAAACATTTTAAAATGTGCTATTTAACAATTGTCTTTTTTATTTGAGAAGGTCCTTATTTTGATGTGCTGCCTTCTTCACTCTCTTGCTGAGGAAAGACTGTCTCTTCCGCACAGGGAGACAGGAAGGTTCATAATTTGATTTTAATGGTTTCCTAGAGACAGCCCTAAGAATGCATTCCCATTACATTTATTTCACATGAATAATTTAGCGTATGTGACCAAATAACAAATCTCATCTTAGGTCATTTACTTTTAACCTCTCTTGTGCCATGGCCTGCGGTTCAAGTTCTAATAAACAGTGAAATAGGTACCGGGCATTGGGGATTTAGGAATGAAGTCGGAATAAAATCCCAACGTCCCCCAACTAATCTGCAGGGCTGTCCCTTCCAACCATCTTCCCTTTCCTGCTTCTTAGTCGCCCTGAGGCGCGGTGGGGTAAGGGGGAGGGGGAGGGGCGGGATTCATGTCTCCTAGCAACTGCCAGCTTCCCCCTGATTGGCTGGCCGCAGCGCGGCCGCCCTTTTCAAACCCCGGAAGATGACGGCGACGGCGATGGCGCGTTCCTGAAAGAAACTTCTCTCCGGACAGAAGGGGTTGGGCACGGTGCCAGTCCCGGCGGTCTTCCCGGGCACCGAGCCACCGCCCCATCCCCCTCCGCGCCATGGAGCCCGAGCTGGCAGCCCAGAAGCAGCGCCAACCGCGGAGACGGAGTCGCCGGGCTTCCGAGCTGTGCGCGGGCAGCGCCGCGGGTCCCTCGCCGGACACCCCCAGGCCGGAGCCTGACCGCAGGTGACCCCGGGGGCCGGCAGCGCCCGGGACCGGGCAGCTCGTCCGAGGCCCGGGAGTGTGGTGGGGAGGAGAGAGGCGGGCTGGTCGACCGCCTCCTCCCTCGGGAAGCTGGCCTGGGGCCCGGCCGCGGAGGGCGGTTCTCCACACGAGCGGGCTACCGGCTGGAATGGGGCGGTTCTGAAGGGCGGATAGACCGATCTGCCCAGAGCCCGCGGGGTGGGGGGCAGGGATTGCTACCCGAGCGGCGACTGCTAACCTCACCCCGCGTTTAACAGAGCCCCGCCGGGCTGTCTGCATTTGAATCCTGGTTTTGTCACCGACCGCTTCGAGGCTTGGACCAAGTTAGCGAACGCACGGCCCCAGCTGCTTCTTGTATAAAGTGAGGATGGCGTAATACCAGCCTTGTGGAGTCGCCATGAGGATTATGAGTTAAAGCATATAACTCAGACAAACATCTCAAATGCTTGGAGAAGTGTCTGGTGCAGAATAAACGTTCAACACATTTTTCTGTTGATTTTATATGTGTGTGTGTGTACATATACACACATGTATACACACACGTATATATATGTATACATACACACACACACACACATTTTAGTGCTGAAAAGAGAGGGCCTTAAAATTAGTACAACTATTTTATGTATTTGGGTTTTTGAAGCTTAGTGAAATTTCACAGCTAGATACTGGGAAAATTTCTCCTCTGTTTCCTAATTTCTAATTTAATGTGTGTGTGTTTTTGCCATGCTTCCTCCACTGAAGGTCTCTAAAGAGTTCTATTAGTAATCTTAATCATTGAAACAATTACTTTCACACAGCCACATTGCAGTAGCTCTTCTTTGCAAATACTATAAATATTGGATATAAATAACATTTTGATCTATTTTTTCCCTGTGGGGTCTTAGGAGAATCCATTGAACATTACATAGCACCTGTATGTCAGGGTTATAAATACAAACCGATCCTTTTAAAGGTTTTGTAATATTTTTCTTTTAACAGGTTTAAAGTAATGCTATCCTTTGGTAGAAAGATAGTACTGTGGCCTGTAATCTACCGGTAGTGATGGGACTTACTCTTTAAATTTTGTTTTCCTAGTAAAATTGATGAATTTGTAGACTGGATATCCAAGATTGAAGGTAGTCTCAAACCAGTCTAGCTGTTGTATAAACTCTGATCTGAGGATTATTGTTCCCTTTAAAGAAATTTATCCTTTTGGGTGGACTGTTTTTCAAAACATATTTTAAATGGAATTAGCACATATAGACACAAGTAATTGAGCCAGTTCTTGATAACCCAGGACTGTCATAATTATTACTATTTATAGTAATAGTTGCTAAAAATAAAAGGATGCCCATATTAGCTTCTAAAAACTATTTGCTCCAACATCAAATGACTGTACTTCTTAACAGTTTTATTGAAATGTAATTTGGATATTATAACATTCATTCATTGTAAGTGTGCAATTTAATAACTTAGTAAATTTGTACAGTTGTGCAGCCATCACCACAATCCACTATTAGAACATTTAATTGCCCCCATTACCTTAAGTTTGTTGCAGTCAGTCCCTACTCTCATCCCAGGCATAGGCAGCCATAGATCTGCTATCCATCTCTGTAAAATCTCTATTCTGGGCATTTCATATAAATGGAATCATGCAATATGTAATCTTTTGCATCAACGTGTTTTTATAGTTCATTCATATGGCATCAATATTCCGTTCCTTTTTTATAGTAAAATAGTATTCCATTATATGAAATGAGTATTTTACATTTTATTACTCCATTCATTGATTGTTGGAGATTTGAATTTTTTTCAGTTTTGACTATTATGGATAATGCTGCTATTAACAGTTACAGACAAGTTTTCTGTGGACATGTTTAATTTCTCTTGAGTAGATTTCCAGGAGTGGAATTGCTGGGTCATATGGTAAACTTATTTTTAACTTTTTACGGAATTGCCAAGCTGTTTTTCAAAGGCTACTAGATTTTTAATGCTGTGTGCTTTTAGATATGTTCCTGTTTCCTCACTGTTACTTGCTGCTGTCATTATCCCCTGAATTTGATGCTGTGGGCAAGGCATTCTGATAAGTATGTTAGAATTTTGCAATACAAAAGCACTAATGTGATGTTTGGAAAGTGTGTGTGCTGGTGTCTAGATGCTCACCTATGTGCTAGAGATTTTCTAAAATGTATCTATTATTTGGAATTCTCAGATACAGGTGAGAAATCCCATATGATAGGGGATATAGTCTACATGATTATCAGCTCCTCCAAAATCTTTTTGAAGTGGGAGGAGAGAAATTCCTTAATAGCAAAGATGCTAAAGAGTCAAAAGAGTAGGAAATGTCTACTACATCAGATATTTGACTCAAATTAAGTGTTTTTGTGATAATTGTCTTTTCTTTTTTGTCTAATTTCAAAGGAATTGAGAACCTGAATAGTTCAGCACCCCCCAAAATCAACAAATGTTAACTATAGAGTATAGTTTACATAATTCTTTGTACATGAATAGTACATTTACAAGTTAACGTTTTTGTTTTGTTTTTTTTTTTTTTGGTACATGCCCCTAGCGGGAACCAAACCCAGAACTCTCTGGTTCACAGGCCAATGCTCCAACCACTGAGCCAAACCGGCCAGGGCCAAGTTGACGTTTTTTATTTTAGCTGTCTTCAAGTTACGTGTAATAGTTTGTAACTAGGCTGAGGCATTTATTTGAGTTGCACTTGCTGGTGTGTGAGAGCAACTTTCTTAGCTGAGCAGCTACATTTCTTGTTTTCACAGAGGAAGTAATTTTTCTTAACAGATCCAGAGGCATCCAAACAATTTTCAGTTACACTTTGTCATAATTTGGGTGTCCCTGTGCCTCATGTCCCTGTGACATTCTTGGTAATGTCAGTGATCTACTCTGCTATATTTCTATCATTAGTCCTTCTCTTTTGGTTGCTTTTTATTTTATTTTTTTTATTTTTTATCCTCACCTGAGGACGTTTTTCCATTTTTTTGTTCAGATAGAGTGGGAGGGAGAGAGAGGGAGAGAGAGAGAGAGAGAGAGAGAGAGAGAGAAAGAGAGAGAGAGAGAAACATCAACGTGAAAGGGACACCGAGTGGCTGCCACCCGCATGACCCAACCATGGCCGGGGACAAACTGCAACTGAGGTACATGCCCTTAGCAGGAACCGAACCCGGGTCTCTCAGGACCGCAGGCTGACGCTCTAACCACTGAGCCAAACTGGCCAGGGCTATTTTGGTTGCTTTTTAAAAACTTTACTTTTCTAACTTATTTTGGTTGTTTGTTGTAAACTCCTAAATATATACCTTATTATAAGCCAGTATCTTTATGTTTTTGTTGTTTGTTTTCCTTTTTAATTGGAAGAGTTATCTCACTTATATTGTCTGGTATATTTTATGAAAATGTTCATTGAGCTACCTTTCCTCCATTTATAATTTCAGTTCAGCTCTTAATTATCTGCCATGATAAGGAGGGCAGTGATGACACAAATCATAATCTCTGAAAACATAATTTGACTTAGGATGAATTAATAGGATGATTCTCTTTTTGAACATCAACTTTACCATTGTAATTATTCTTTATTTAGACTAAAATTATCTTAGTGCAAAAATAACATACATTGTTCAAAAACACATTAAATAATACAAAAGGAACTATATTGTCCTGGCTGGTTTGGCTCAGGGGTGAGAGGGTCAGCCTGCGGTCCCAAGAGACCCAGGTTCAATTCCCGATAAGGGCATGTACCTCGGTTGCAGTTTGTCCCCGGCCCTGGTTGGGTCGTGCAGGTGGCAGCCACTCGGTGTGTCCCTTTCACGTCGATGTTTCTCTCTCTCTCTCTCTCCCTCCCACTCTATCTGAACAAAAAAATGGAAAAATGTCCTTGGGTGAGGATAAAAAAAAAAAAAGGAACTATATTAGAGGCCAAGGAATAACCTCAATGGGCTTAACAGGAAACACAATTTTATATGCCAAGCTAGTTCCTTCATGTGTTATTTATTTTGTGCGTTAAGTATTAAAATTATTTAGATGTATAAAACGGACTGGACAAAAATTCTTGAAAAGGTGAAGAGCCATCAGTTATTTTTTATCCTTCAAACCTCTCTCTAAGTGGACTATATTGGGTATCTTCTAGAAAGGGCAGTTACAATAGTAATTAATGCTTTGTGAAATCAAAAAATTTTTCCCACAAGGTTTTAAAATAGCTATTATATTTTGAATCTGACCTCTGTGAAAAATGACCATATCTTTCCAAGATTTTTGAAAGTTGGCACCATCTCACATGTTTTCTGGGCACAATTTGTTTTGGGGGTTACTTTTTTCCCATGGGTATTCAAAATAAATAGGTACTTGTTATTGAAATGGGAAAAAATAGCATTACTGTAAAGCTGATTATAGCTAGTGCTGGAAATAATCTTGCCATCTAGTTGGAAATATTTTTCCAGTTTGTTAACGTGTTTAAATTCCTAAGAGCTATTTTTCTTTTCGGCTTTCAGACATTAAATTTATTTTGGGGTCAGTTTGCGTGATTCTAGGGAATAGAGAAATAATAGCTTTGGTTTGGGTTTTGTCTTGTACCTGAACGACAGTGTTTATTGAATATTTTAAGTACCACTATGATTACTACTTTGGAATAAATATTTGTATTCGATTAAAAATAATCTGAGAAATCATATTTGCTGCTTCTCAACCCAATCCCCACTGAATACTGTTTTCAACCATGTAATAATATATGATAGCACTTACCTAACACAGTATTTTTTTTTTAAGTGTGATCTATGGCATCATGGTATGCAGATCTTTTTTTTCCTTTAATCTTGTAGCATTTGTTTACAATATTACACCTATGTATTATTTAGTCATATGAATTATAGTGTTTCAGATGTCTTTTGGTTCAATTTAAACATCTTGTTCCACTGTTTTATCAAAAAATCATACTGTTTTCTTTATTGTTGCTTGACTTTCCTGCAGTGGCAAAATCATGAAGTTCTCTTGCTCCACTAAAGAGTCCCTCTAATATATCTATATTGAGCTCCTACAGTATTAAATGGTGTAGTGTGTTTTAATTTGTTAAAAAGAAACAACAGGTCCCAAATAGAGTCACTTGTGCCAAGCCCCACCTCAGCAAACCAAGATTTACTACTTAACCTAATTGCAGTATCAGTTTCTCAGGAATGTAACCTTTAACCAGTCCACATGGAATCACCTGGTCAGCACTAGTGAGATAATCTGAAGGATAGTAGCCTTGCCTGAAACAGTGTATTCTTTACTACTAATGTCCTTTTTCCCACCCCCTTTCTGCCTTATAAACCTTGTATTTTGTACAGTCCTTTGGATCTCCTTTCTGTTTGCTGGATGGGATGATGCCTGATTCAGGAATAGTTCAGTAAAGCCAATTAGATATTTAAATTTTACCTGGTTGAATTTTTGTTATTTAACAAGTCTTTTCCAAATAATTATTTAGGAAATATTTGCTTGAAATACCTTAAGATCTTTCTGCATCTATTTTTTTTTTTTTTATCCTCACCCAAGGACATTTTGTTTTTCGATATTTTGTTCAGATAGAGTGGGAGGGAGGGAGAGAGAGAAAAACATCAATGTGAAAGGGACACATCGAGTGGTTGCCGCCCATACGACCCAACCAGGGCCGGGGACAAACTGCAACGGAGGTGCGTGCCCTTAGTGGGAACCGAACCTGGGTCTCTGGACCGCAGGCCAACACTCTAACCGCTGAGCCAAACCGGCCAGGGCTGCATCTATTTCTAATTATTATCAGTGGCATCATACTTCACTATGCCAAGAACCTTGGTAGTGACTGAACAAGCATAGCAAGAAAAAGGAAAAATTTATCCATTTTGTCATCAAACCCTCTTTCTAATCTGCTTCCTTTCTCAAACCTTGCTGCTGTTGCCTCAGCCCCTTACCATCTACTGTAAGTACTGGAGCTACCTCTTAACTGGTCTTCCTGACCAGTCTTGCCTTCTTCCAATTCATCTTTCTCCTTACGTAGAATTCAGTAGTAATAGCTGCCATACATGTTTAAGATCAAGCTTATACTCTTTGAGGGGTGTGTATAAGGCCTTTTGTTATGATCTACCCCTTCCTTATTTCTTTTGATTCTCAAACATAAGGAAGTAGTTGGAATTTCCAGAATATAATTTATTTCACTCCTCCTCAACATGTACTATTCCTTTTGCCCAAAGAGCCTTTCTGCCTCTTGCATGCTTATTAATTGTTGTTTCTCTTTGATACAACTTTCATATTACTACTTAAGTATTAATTCTTCTGTGAAGCTGTTTTGACATCCTCTTTCTCCTGTATCCCTTTTCCCTCGTCAATACACAAACTTCTGTTTTATATTTAGTTTCAGAAACTACAGGAACCTATACCTGATGTAAACTTATAAATTATTTTAGGAAAAACAGTCATTTCTGATGTTTCTGTAACTTAAAAGTTAATAAAGACCTTGAGGATCAAGGGTGAGAACTGGAATATACAATGGAGAATGGACAGATAACTTCTATAACATTTAGCTCCAAATGATCAGGACTTGATCAATAACTGCCAGCTTCCCTAATTTTTGTCCTTCCTTCTAACTTAGAATCAACCAGACAGAGCAAGCCAAATTGCTCCCCAGTCAATCACAGGGGCATACCTTGCTCCTAGTTAGCCTGCCAACAGCCTCCAATCAGGACACATCTAAAACTCTCTTTTTTCTAAAAGTTTTCCTTCCTCAGCCTGCTTTATTAAGTCTGCCTAAACACAAATGATGGTGTCTAACTCCTGTGATATAGTACAAGCTTTGAATAAATAGCCTTTGCTTTTCTCATTTGGTTAATCTTTATTTCCACAAGGAGAAAAAAGAACTATATTTGCATCTGAACCAATTAACAATAAGTATAGTTTATAAACTGTACTTTATAGTTTATAAGTATAGTTTATTTTTATTTCTTGTGCTGTTAGTGATTTTTCTCCATGTTTTATAAACATAGAGCTTTATATCTTATAAAGATGAAGACAGGTTTTTGTCATAAGGGTTCTCTTTACTTCTTTACATTGAATGGAAAGATGACACAGAACAAAAGTCTGTCATTTAATAAAGAACAAAATCCTAGTCAAATTTTAATCTTACTTGAGTCCCTTGTTTCAGATGTAGTTATTTAAAGCTTTTTATTTGGTTTATTAAATCATAATTTTTTAAAAAATCAGTACATGAAAGATTTTATTTGAAATGCAAATTGAATACATTTAGGTTTTATTTATTATGTTAATATCCTTTTATTCTTTTCAAAATATTAGGCATGAATGTTAAATTTTATCAAATAATTTTTTTGTATCATTTACTGTTTTTAGTTAACCTGTTAGTGTATATAAAGAGATTTCATATAATTGAACCATGTCTGTATTCCTAAAATAAACTCTGCTTGGTTTGGTAATTATTTTTTCTAAATACTCTTAAGCTAGTCACTAATGTTATAAAGGCTCTGTCACTTTTATAAAGATTCTGAAAGTGACTAGAACCTGTACCCTGATTTTTTTGGGGGGGCATAGCCTCTTATATCTATGATTGAATGACTAAAAGGCTACTTTAAACAGTCTTGAAACTAAAAAATACAGTTTTTTATCTGTCTAGTGCTTTATTTTACTGATGTCACTCTCAATTTATTTGTTGTTTTAATTTCTATTAACAGATATTCCCTTAGGAGAGGTAGCTCCTTCACATTTTTAACACCTGGACCCCACTGGGACTTCACTTTGGTGAGTAGATGCCTGGGTTTTTTTTATTTCAAGACATTAGACAGAATTAGTTCCTGGATTGCCTTTCAGTCTGATATTCAGCTCAATTGTCTGTATTTCTTTCAACATCTTTGGTAGCATAATTTAATTATTTTCTGCTAACAAGCTAAAAATTTTTATTTCAATTAAATATAAAACATGTCTTGAAAAGTACGGGATCTATTCATCTTTAACTCTATATAATCCTTTCTCTTATTTCCACCAGTGTTAAAAGTTAAGAGAATATATTATGGAACATGAAGTTATTTTTATCTACATACTCGAAGTTTTTTTTTGTAGTTGAAAAATGTATGACTGTAAGATATAAAGAATGAATTAGTTTCTGTTGTTAATCATTTTAGTATAGAGGATCTGCTTCATTATTCTTATTCTTCTTATTATTATTTTTTTATCCTCACCTGAGGATATTTTTACATTTATCTTTAGACAGAATGGGAAGGAGGGAAGAAGAGAGAGAGAGAAGAACATCAATGTGAGAGAGACACATCGATTGGTTGCCACCCGCACGACCCCAACCAGGGCCAGGGACAAACCACAACCTAGGTATGTGCCCTTGGCTGGAATCGAACCCAGGACTTTTTGGACCGTTGGTCATCGACACTCTAACCACTGAGCCAAACCAGCCAGGGCTGCTTCATTATTTTTAGAATGAGACTGTACAGAGGCATCTAACTGTGTAAAGTGACACCAGAAAATTAATCCTTTTCATTAAAAACTGCTTACCTCATAGTACTCCTATAAATAAAGTGTGTACAAATAGAGCACGATTCTTATGCTTTTCTTATTTGGGTGAAATAGCAAAAATGATTCTATTTCTAGTGTGCCATACTTTACTTATGTGTCTGTATTGATATGCTAATGGTTCAGCAGTACATATTTAATTTGTATTCTGTTCTTTTGTCTTTATATTTCTATTGGGGACTCCTGTTTAATATTTCTGTACTCTTATACTAATTACATACATTAATTAGTCAGATAAGCATTCACAGAAAGTGGCTCTTGATTTTAATGCAACTCTACATTTCCTTTGGAACTTTTTTCATCTTGGTTCCTTTTCCTTACTATCTGATGATCCAAAACTTAAACAGAAGAAGTTTAGAAGTGTTTCTAAACTGGATTTGCAAGCCTATCAGCAAAAATATTTGAGCATATATTCTTTATATATTTATAATTTTTGTATATACCACCATTATTAGCTAATATCTTAAAGTACAATACTCTCACCTAGAGTAAAGTTAATGATAGTGGACATAAATATATATTTCAGATAGCCATGATAATTTCAGTTTGGGGCTCACCTCTTATTGGATCTGATTAGATCACCATTATCTTTAACCTTATAATGTGAGTGATGATAAAATCATCATCTGTATATTAAATATTAGTGAAGCTGATTTTTAAAGATTAAAAAATACATACAAAATAAAAGTTTTAACATTTTCCTCCTGCACTCCAAGAATGATATCTTGCTTATCCTCCAAGGTGGACATCCCAATTGAGAAAACAGTTTCATAGACATCTCCCATGACAAAAGAAATATCTTATGGTTTATGTATTAAAACTTTTGGAATGTCATTAAGAAGTTGTAAGAGGGAGATTTATAATTTGTAAATATATAATGTAAGAAAAGAAAAGAGCCTGGCTGGTGTGGCCCAGTGGATTGAGTGTCACCCTATGGACTTTGAGGTCCCAGTTTGATTCCCGGTCAGGGTACATGCCTTGGTTTCAGGCTCGATCCCCAGTTGGGGGCATGCAGGAGGCAGCTGATTGATGTTTGTCACATCAATGTTTCTATCTCACTCTTGCCTCCTCTCTATAAAAAAAATCAATAAAAGCATATTAAAAAGAAAGTAATAAAAACTATAAGCATCTAAAAAAAAAAAAAAAAAACTTAAAGCATCTAACTTAAGAGGTTAGGAAGAGAACAATGAAGTAAATCCAAGAAAATAGAAGGAAAAGTAAGACTGGAAAGAAATAAAATCAACACCCACAAAATTCTTGGCAAACCACGAATAGAATAGAAAACTTCCTTAGTCTAAGACTTTCCACAAACAACATACTGATAAAATGTTTAAACATTTCTTTCAAATTCAGAAAAAGAAGCCTGCTGTTACTATGTCTATTCAGCATTGTACTAATGCTCCTAGACAGCACAGGAAGACAGGAAAACAAATGATACATGAATTAGAAAAGAAAGGACAGCATGATTTCATTACTTAGAAAAAACAATTACATGCATAGACTATCCGAGAATATTAATAGTGGCTATTAGAACAAGTTCAAGCAAGGTTACTAACTATAAACGTTATAAAAAGAAATCATTATCTCCCAAGAAGACATACAAATAGCCAACAGAATTATGAAAAGATGTTCAACATCACTAGTTATTAGAGAAACTACAGTGAGATACCACCACAAAGATTGAGCACCCCTGTGTTCATTGTAGCATTATTCATGGTGCTACATGGAAACAACCAAAGTGTCCTTCAATAGAAGATTTAATAAAGCAGATGTAGTACATGTATACAGTGGAACACTACTCAGCCATAAGAAAACATGAAGTACTGCCATTTGCTACAACATGAATGGACCTTGAGAATATTATGCTAAGTGAGATAAGTAAAGCTAAGAACCACATAACTTCACTCATGTGAGATATAAAACTAGAATTCATGGACACAGACAACAGTGTGGTGATTACCACAAAGGGGCTGTAGTGGGATGGTAGAGGTTGGAGGGGGCCTAATATATGGTGACAGAAGATGGTTTGACTTTGGGTGGAGTGCAGTATACACATCTTGTATTACAGAAATGTACACTTGAAACCTATATGATTCTATAAACCAATGTCACCCCAATAAATTTAATTTAAAAAATCTATAACACAAACCCAGAAGATGGTGGTGGGCAGGATCGGAGCAAGGGTAAGTATGTGAGAGAGAGTGTGAATGGACATGAGTGTGGATGAGCAACCTTGAGCAAAGTAGAAACGTGGGACAGAAGTTTCCTGTGCTCTGGATGGGGAGCAGCCAGCTACCTCAATAAGCAGCTTGTCAGGGTGCTTCTCCCTGCGTACCTGGAAGACCCTGCCATTTTGGAAGATCCCTGGTCTTCTCTGGGAGGAGGCAGCAGGGAGCACCTAGGACCGAGCAGCCAGAGTCCGCCAGAGTGCCTTGCACTATTGGACCAGTGGGCCCCACTGTGTCAACGTGGACCAGTACACAGCAGCGCTATCAAGGTGCCTGCTTTGGTAGCCGCAACCAGTCCGGACCTGAGCAGCCTGATCAAAGCCAAGCACCACCTCCAGCAGCCGTAGTGCCAGCTTGGAAGCCCAGCACCTTCCCCAACAGCAGCACTGACTGGATGGGAGTGGAGCCCCACCCCCAACAGCAACTGAGGCTGGGGAGCCGAGACACACTCCCAGCAGCAGACGCTTGGGGGAAGACATTCATCCCCAGGCAGCAGCAGCAGCACAGATCGGCAGCTGAGACCCATCCCCAGCGGCATCAACAGAGGCTAATCAGGAGCAGTGCCCCAGCCCAAGCACCAGCAAGGCTCGGGCAGCCGAGACCTTCCCCTGACAACTACAGCAACACATTTGGAGTGGAGCCTCTCCCTCAGCAGCAGCAATAGCAGCAGAGGATTGGGAGCTGAAAGCACCCTGCAGCAGTAGCATCGGCAGCAACTGATCAGGAGTTGAGCCCCACCAGGCAGCAGAGCACCCCAGGAATGCATCAACGGGACCCACACACCTCAGCAGCACACCAGCTGGACCCACACACCTCAAGAGCACCTAACATGACAGACCAATACCAGCCGCCAGTTGTCAATCCTGCAGGATCCACAGCAGGCAAGAGGCGCCACACACCAAAATAGTCTGGGAGGCACAGCAGACTTATTTGATAAACACAGCCTGCCTATACATTCCAACCTCCCTCACCAGGCATAGAACTACCAGACTGCTAAAATGGGACAAAGAAACAACACCCAAATGAAAGAAAAGGAGGAGTCACCAGAAAAGGAACTACATGAAATGAAAGAAAGCAATTTGTCAAATAAAGAATTAAAACCAGTGATTTTAAGAGTGCTTAAACAATTTAGTGAGAACTACAAGCAACTTAATAAGAATTATGAAGAGCTCAGTGGTAACTTACATCAGCTTAACAAAAGAGGTAGAAGCTATGAATAAAAATCAAGAGGAAATATAGAATGACATAACTTATGAAAAATATCTTAGAAGGAGTCAATAGTAGATTAGAAGAAGCTGAAGACCAAATCAACGACTTAGAAGTCAAGGTAGAAAAAAACACCCAAATAGAGCAGCAAATGGGAAACAAAAATTAAAAAGCAGGAGGAGAGTTTAAGGGAGTGTTGGAACAATACAAAACGTAACAACATTCGCATGATAGACATACAAGAAGGAGAAGAATAAGAGAAAGGAATAGAGAACCTGTTTGAAGAAATAATGACAGAAAACTTCCCTAATTTGGTGAAGGAAAAAGTCACACAAGTCCAGGAAACCCAGAGAGTCCCAAGCAAGATGAACCCAAAAAGACCCACAGCTAGACACATCATGATTAAAATGGCAAACATTAACCCTGGATGATTTGATTCAGTGGTTGGAGAGTCAGCCTACAGACCAGTGAGTCCTGGGTTCGGTTCCCGCTAAGGGCACATACCTCATTTGCGGTTTCTCCCTGGCCCAGGTTGGGGTCGTGTGGGTGGCAACAACTTGATGTGTATCTCTCACATCGATGTTCCCCCACCCCCACCCCCTTCTCTCCTGCTGTATCTGGAGATAAACGCAAGATTGTCTTTGGGTGAGGAAAATAAATAAATAAAATAGCAAAATTAAAGATGAAAGAATCTTAAAGGAAGCGAAAGAGAGACAGTTACCTACAAGGGAGCTCCCATTAGACTTTCAGCTGATTTCTCAATAGAAACACTGAAGGCCAGAAAAG